CTGGATTGCTATAAGACGTTCTTTCTTTTGTCTCCATTGGTGCTACATCTTGACCTTCTTGGCCTCCACATAAATTACAAACCACCCAACAAAAAGGAATACAAACATATGCTAGAAATGAGTTCTTCATATGGCCTTTCTCACTGACACTGAGATCTCCTAGAAGAAGAAAAGAAGACCGTGTTTAGAATCTCCACCCATAGAGAAACAAAAAGAGATCAGAGTGAGACTCAAATGAACTAAAAGAAAAAAACTTCCAAGTACAACGAACTAAGAGAAAAAGAAAAATGAACTAGATAGTTTCTAGAGAATCTGATTTTTAGAAGGAAGACCATATAAAGAGAAGAAAGATACAACACAGTTAATAAACACAGAGAGAGAAAAGGTTGTTTCTTCATAATTTTAAATTTCTCTCAATAATTAACGGAAAATAAAAGTTCTAATAACACGATGACAAACACAAATCTAAGAAGCGCTTAAGGAGGCACTGACAACCACTCTCGAGGCGAAAAGGCAAACAATATTCAGCAACAATAGTAAAGGAATAATCAGAGATCCTGATTCAGCAAGTGAAAGGATCCCAAGAAGAAGAGAAGCTTTTATAGAAGGGGGCGCGACCTTTTCTATAAGCTCTGCGCCGCAGCTACCTTGAAAGCTAGTTAATTGCATGTGCTCTTGTTGTTAGTGAAGGATCTTATTACTATCCTAGTTAGATTTATTCTAGCATAGTATTGACCTATGGCGAAAAGCACTTTTGAGTTTTGAAAAGCAGAGTGGAAGAAGCAAATTGTGGAGGGCTATAAGGGTATTTTGGTTTTTGAAAACAAAAACATTTAAAAATGTTGTGTGTAACGGTCATATTGTTGTCAGGTACTCAATTGAGAACAAAGGAGAAGTAGGGTCCATTTGGAAATTTCAAAGATAGATCTTTTTTTCAAAGGAAGAAATATATTTTGTTAATAAATTATCACTTATTATTTAAAGAAATATATTTTGTTAATAAATTATTTATTTAACATTTAAAATGGTAAGCAATAAATGGCAATATATTATTTTTAATTCTTAAAATATGCTTTTAACATGATCCAATAATAATTTACAACAAAAACAATCTACATAACAAATATTCATATCTTATGTCATTTATGAGAATAATAAATATGAATTGGAAATAATGGTTTTCATTATCTAGCGGTTCATATTGTATCATGGATTTTAAAGTTCAACTAAACGAACGGTTAAGATGAAGGCTTTGTTTAGAGTAATTACTTAATATAATATATGACGATTGAATGATGACAAACATTAGTTATATATTATCAAAATATAAAATTTGTCTCAAAAGAAGAAGAATAAATATTTTTATAGTTGTAGATTCCAAGTCAAAACACATAAATTATTTATTGTTGTTGTTTCTCGGTGGGATAATCAACCCACATGCTTCAAATTAATTTAATAAATCAAATATCAAGATTTTTTTTTTTTTTTGGAATTATTTCTATTTATAAGGATTTTCACAAAGATAAAGTATTTTTTCATAAAATAATATTTTTTTTTTTGAAATTTTATATTATTATTTTTTTCAGTATTGCTTTCGTATCACTAACCACCCCTTCAAACAAATAGTTTAAGGTAACTCTATCTAACTTCAGTTTACAAATTAAGGTTAAAATCGTCTTTTTTAATCAAATTCTAAATATAAAACTATAAATTGAAAAAACAAATGATCAAGTAACATAATTACAAAACAAAAGTAAAAAAATTACTAGACAGAATTAGCTTGAAAGGGTGTTAGAGATGAGTTATTATTATTATTTGTTTTTATGATCAAGGGAGTGCTCAGACCAACTTACACGCACCAGCTAATATCTCAAGATCCTGAAACTATTAGTCAGATAAGAGTTCTACTTGTCAACCCTATTAACAACCGATAAATGACTTAAATTCAAGACATAAGTCTTTATCGAACCATTCAACCACCTAAGGGTTAATTGATAAGTTATTTAGAATCTAAGGGCCGGTATTGTTTGATAATATGAATAACACTCACATTACAACAAAAAAATTATTTTTTAGAGCAAGTTTGGGTGTATATAATTTTATTTACATTAGCCATCATTAAGGTTTAATATTTTGAGTAGTATATCTATATCTAATTAATAATTAATTAATGCCTTAAAAGGGAGGTCAATAAAATATTAGAACCAAATTATGAGCACTCATGCATGCCTTGAATTGGAGTGAAGAATTTCATGGTTGTTGAATGTTTTGAACAAATATTTATACGCACTATTTCATCATAAGACTACCTAATTTATTAATTCCACCATTAATCTAACCTAAATATTATTGTATCATAAGTTTACTTAATTTGGAACATATTATACCACTAATATTATTAAACTCACTATTATTAATTGTCATCCATGGGTAAAGTTATAGATCATAATTAAACTTATGTTTACTTGAGTGTTAATTAAGTAGACATTATTGAGATGGTCAAATTTATTGATCATGACCTAATGACTGCCAAATTTGGAAGCAACATAATTAATTTAACATGTTATAATTACACAACTTAGAATTTTTGTTTTTTTTTTTTTCGGTGAAAGCCTCTGGCCTCCCCATACCCAAAAATATTATAAGACTAATATTAATCGGGGCTTAGGTAAGTATCATTGACCACAAAGTGCTTCCAGTGCGGTTCAAACCTGTGACGTTGCAGATAAAGTTTGTCACACTTAGAGTCCAATTACCAATTGTACCACAACTTAGGAATTATTTTCCATACACATAAAATGTATTTGAGATTTTAGGCCCATTAGCCCATTGTTAATGGGCTTTTCTCCCTTTTGATTGATATTTTATATGCAATAAAATTTTCAAATTTTAATTTAAAAAGGATTAACAACAATTAAAAATACTATATGAGGTGGAATTGGTAATGTACCAGAATTTCCTGAATCCAAGAACAGAGAATATATATATAGACAGTTTCCTTGAAATTAAATCAAATCTACAAAATATCTGTTATTGTCAAACAAACAGTCAGAATATAAAAAAACAATATATGTATTAGTTATTCGTCTTGGTCTTCTATTAAAAAGCAGATAAATAAATTGAGAAAATTATGAATTTATGATGATATATAATGTACTTACATAAAGAAGTTAATTTAAAAAATAAAAGAAATAAATTAATAAAATCTAAAGCAATTCAAACCTACATAGTGGACAACACCTATTCTTGTTCAACCATTTAACAATACAACCATTATGAAAAATATGGCAACAAGGCATGCTCGTAGCTTCAGAACCCGAAGAAAGCTCATCTAAACATATTGAACATGGTCCCTTCGAATCATCTTCAATCTTAACCATCTCCAACTTCTCAATTGACGATTTACTAGCAGCAACAATGGCAGTTTCTGTATCTTCTGATTCCGAGTCATCGTCCATATTAAAATAACTCTCAAAATGCACAACCAGACGAAGAACCTTATAATTCTCATATTTTCTGTTCGTGGCCATCTCACCAGCAATACTCATAATTCGTACAATAGTCAAAGGATCACAACTGATGCCCATTAAGTCATAAATTTTTTCTTGAAAAATATAATAACAAGTAGTATATCCTTGCTTTTGCATCATTAAATCATGTTCAAGCTCAAAAGCTCGGTCTGGCATGTTCATCAACAGTCGATGCTCTATTTGAAAATTTTCTAGTGAAAATCCATCTGAATAAATACGTGAAGAGAAACATGAGTGCTTTAAAAGAAAAGAGAAGACGACACTAGTCCGTGATCCATCTTCAGGTTTGATGGTGTCGTCCGGCCAAACATAACAGGAGTGGTCGAGGTTGCCGCTTGAGCTTGCCATCTTTTATCAAACTAAACAAGGTATTAAGAGGATAAAATGAATTGAGATTGTTTAAGTTCGTGTATAATTTATAGCTATATTAAGGTGGTGTTAATTTAATAGGAATCCTAAGGGGGAGGGGATTCATTAAGAGATGGGGGATAAAAGAAAATGAATCCTGATAGAATTCATTAATATATCAAAATAATCCTTAATTATAATATAATTTTCTTTAATTTGTTCTTGATGTTGACGTATTGGATACCAGGACTTCTGGTTTTATACAAAGGAGTATGTAATTTAATATGATGCAAGTTCTTGATGTAGTAGGCTTGAACGAAAATAAACTTGTTTTAATAAAAATAAAGAAGGTGTTCTTGATTCATCTTCGGTTTTGTAATGCTTTCTGACGATACTGAATAATCAACTGAGGTGTTCAATGGACTCCAGAGATTAATTGAGGCAAGATGGTCTGAACACCTCATTAAAAAAAAAAAAAAAAAAAAAAAAAAAAAAAACAGCAATTAAACTCATGGCCACGATAAGAGTTGACTTCATCATCTCTTGACATATTCTTGGATCAAAAGTGATGAAGAAGGTATAACTAATTAAGAGAGTTAAGTTTCATAGATAATATATAATTAAGATGGTGTTGTTTTGATAGGAATCATAGGGAAGGAGAATTAGGGTTTTAGTTGGCAAAATATTACAAAAGACAAAGAACCCTAATAGGATTATCTTATTTGATTTGATTTTAAAGACTTCTGAACTAATACATAATTAATCAAACGCTTAATTGGTGGGAGTAAGTATCAAATTTCTTTAAGAAAAAAGAATTTAAAAATTACTTGAATTAAAAAAACTGGTAGGATTTTCTCTTTTACTCTCCTTTTCATTAACTTCAAATCGGGTGTTCTAATAAAAATTAATCTCTTTTTATTAAATATAAATAAATCCAAACCCCTCAAGTTGTGAGATATATAAATAATTAATTATGAAAATTATCGTTAAAATTAAAACTAATCATTAATTCCAACAATTGTCTCAAAAACTAAAATATAACCACAAATATCTGAAAGTAAAAACAGGAAAAAAAAAAAAAAAAAAAAGGAACAAACCGAAACAGGATTTAATTAACTAAGCCTAATAAAAACTGAACCCTAGGAAAGACATAACGAGCAGCATAACATTGATTGGAGAAGCAATGGAAGGCCTCTGAACTGAGCCATTGTTCTTTCCATCGGTGCTGTTCTGGTTCTGGGGTTGATCGGGAGGGCTTGCCGGCTCCAAAACTTTGATGATCATCTTCTGTCCTCGCTTACAGTGCCCGGAAACGCCGCTGATGAAGTAGAACAAACCCGGACGCTCCAGCTTGAAGACAGTGTCGCCATTGTTGGAGTAGAAAAGTGGATGAGACGATTGGCACTTCTGGTACTCCTCCTCAGTCACCACCATCACTGAGTCTTTCTTGTACTTGAAACCTGAATTCATCATCAAACAAGACATATAAAACATAGAAAGATTTTTTAAACTTTTTTTAACAGAAAGAAGCAACATTTCATTATTTTAGTACTTACGAACAGTATCATCAGGCTTAAACCTGTTGCCAGAAGCCCACTGGTTGTACATTTGGTCAGCGTTGTTGCCCTTAGGTATAACCCAACCATGATCGCCACCCACTTCATATTCAGCGCAAGTTACAGTGTAGACATGGAGAAATGAGAAGAGAAACAAAAAGAGAGAAACTTTGAAAGAGAAAATGAGAGAAGCCATATTTTTTGGACTCAGGGGAGCTCTCACTTAAGTTTGGTTTAGTCTCTTGAAATAAACAAAAGAGATCAGTAAGTAGTTTGAGAAAATATGGTTACTTTAATTGGAGTTCAATTGATTATTTAAACTAAAGAGAGCTCAAATTGAAGTCTGTTAGTGGGAGAATAATTAGGAGAGAGATATGGAGATAGTGGATTATTGGAGGGTAACCGTTGAGAGAGAGGCCTATGATCTTTGACTTGGTATAAATTTTTCTTTCACAAGAAACCAGGCTGTTGAGCAAAATCAGGTAAAGAACTTAAAAATGTTCGTCAACTTTTTTATTTGGAGATATTATCTTCTATTTTTTTATTTTTTTTATTGATTGTGATCGAGGTGTCTAGCACCTTAATTAGTCTTTCAAAACTTTGAAGTTGACGAACGGGTAAGCTTATCAATAATCACCCCTATTAACATCTGTAGAACTTAAACTTAAGAGTTCGCGAAACTTTTTTTATTATCAGAGTGGTTCGAAGCTATTATCTCACCATTTTAAAAACCACCCATGAATGATGGATTGATAATCTAGATTATAATTAGCTTTTTGGTTATGATCTTTACCTATTGAATTAACTTCTTTATGACATTTATACACATCTTTAATACGGTGCTGAAAAGGCTGACATTTAATCGACATTAGCTACCTAATTAATCATCTTTTGATCTGATTTTCTGCTCTTCGTAGGGTGGCTATTGAATTTAAAACACTGAGCACTTTATTTCAACTTTGGAATATATGAACCCTATTTTCTGAAATATCAAGAAAGTGATTCGGCTACTGGAAAATAAGATAATAAAATATATTACAAAGACAAACGTGAGTTACATCTCGTGCAACAGGAGCTAGTCCACGCCGAGACCCTTCAAAGTTCAAATTAGTTAACCAAATATTGTAAATCTCGAAGAAATTCTGCATGCCTGTGATCGTCTTGTCCATTTTTTGTCTGCATGGAAAGTAATAGTAACTAGTTAATTAATTGATCTATCTTGCTGATTAACAAGGTTTCACCTCGTAAGGAACATGAACTGTCGAAGTGAATTCCGCTTTGTAACACAGATTCGGATTGTTCCAAGCACCAAAACGCCTACCCATTTTCTTATAAAACCAAACGGAGACTTCGAGTTTCCCTGTGAAGTTGTTCCCATTAAGGTAAAGAGCATTAAGGCTTGGCATAGTTACAGTCTTTGGAGGGATATTTCCCGAGAGTTTATTATCATTAAGCCCCAAAAATCGTAGTCTTTTCAATTTGGCCATCGACTCTGGTATTTCACCCGTCAAATTCGTGTTTGAGAGATCCAAAATCTCCAAGTTCCGAAGATTTTCCCATTGAATTTCACTGAGTTCACCACCAATTGGATTACTAGACATTGCCATTTCTTTCAAGGAAATCATTTCTTCAAGTGACTGAACCAATCCACCTGAAAATTTGTTACTCCTCAGGTCAACTAATGTAACATTTTTTAAGTTTCCAATCTCCTTTGGCAGCTTTCCTTCAAACTTGTTATTACTTAAATCAAGCTTCAAGAGTGAAGTAAAACCTCCCAAAGTCAATGGCATTGACCCGGATAGATTATTCCTGCTTAAGTCTATTATCAAGACCTCGGTCAACCCCCGAAAACTTACCGGAATCTCACCATTGAACCGGTTTCCGGAGAGAACAAGACGCCTTAAATTGACCAAATTGCCCAACTCCATAGGTATTTTGCCAGTCAAACCATTTTCTAGTAACACTAAAGATTGGAGCCTTTTAAGGCCGCCAAAACTTGTTGGAATAGTGCCAATGAGAGCGGGGTTTGATCGAAATTCTAAAGATTCCAATGAGGAAGCAAAATTTTCCCAGTTTGATGAGGGTATTTCAGTAGGGTTTTGGCTTGGTGAGGAGAAACAATTGAAGAATGAGAGAGACCTAAGGTGAGTGAGTTCGAAGAATTGATGTGAGAATTTTGCATTGGTGCACTGGAGAGAGTTGTCGTATATTGGACCAATGCTTAGTCCGGTAACATACCAAAAGCCATCGAATAAATCACAGGACACTCCCTGAAAATGTATAAGGAGAGTAACTAAAATAAATAAAATTTTGATTATGTAATTCATTTGATACTTTGCATGAAGAACTAGTGTGTATACACTACAAATGTATATAAATAAAATTATAAAATATATTTTTGTTATCTAAGTGGTGATTAATTTGAACCTGAATTGGCGTCCATCCACAGGGATCTGGATAGAGATCTGAGCCATTCCACTGCTTCCCTATAAATCCCTGGATTGCTAAATAAAGACGTTCTTTCTCTTTTGTCTCCATTGGTGCTACATCTTGATCTTCTTGGCCTCCACATAAAATTACAAACCACCCAACAAAAAGGAATACAACAAATATTGCTAGAAATGAGTTCTTCATAATGGCCTTTCTCAGCTGACAATCTGAAGATCTCCTAGAAGAAGAAAAGAAGACCGTGTTTAGAATCTCCACCCAATAGAGAAACAGAAAAGAGATCAGAGTGAGACTCAAATGAACTAAAAGAAAAAAACTTCCAAGTACGAAACTGAACTAAGAGAAGAAAGAAAATGAACTAGATAGTTTCTAGAGAATCTGATTTTTACGAAGAGAGAAACCATATATAAAGAGAAGAAAGATACAAAAACACAGTTAATAAACACAAGAGAGAAAAGGTAAAGTGTTCTTCTATATATGTTAAATTTACTTCTCAATAAATTAACGGAAAAATAAAAGTTCTGAATAAACACGATGACAGAACAACAAAATCTAAGAAGCGCTTAAGGAGAAGCACTGACAACCACTTCTCGAGGCGGAAAAGGCAAACAATAATTACAGCAACAATAGTGAATAATCAGAGATCCTGATTCATGCAAGTGAAAAGGATCCCAAGAAGAAGAGAAGCTTTTAATAGAAGGGGGGCGGCCATCGGCCTTATCTATAAAGCTCTGCGCGCTGCAGCTACCTTGAAAGCTAGTTAATTGCATGTGCTCTTGTTGTTAGTGAAGGATCTTATTACTATCCTAGTTAAGATTTAGTCTAGGAATATTATTGAACCTAGGGTTTAATTTTGGATTAGGGTTAGGGTTTTTAAAGATTCTAGTTAGTGAAATATTGTTGTTAGTTACTACTAGACTTTCTAATTACACGGCAGAATTCTAACCATAAATTTCTTCCTTCGAAACTCTCTCTCTAGGAGATGGACGATGTACTGTGACAATGGAGAAAGACTTAAATAAGTCTTATTATCTCATTTTGTTGATATACTGAGACCATTAATTCAATAATATAACGACATGTGCTGTCACATATTTATCAGATTTTCTCATTCATCAAACCATAATTATGATTCCTGACTCTTTATTGTACATCAATAACCACCCTAATAAAAGATGGTTTTCAAATTTAAGTTTTATAGTATTGTCTCATCTCATCAGCTAAATGAGATTTTGCATTATCGTGCATTATCCCATGTGACAACACGAATGTGTGATGGGTTAGAGCATCTTGAAAAGACTCTTTTTATGATCCAAATTTTTTATTATAAAGAATTTACCCATAAAAACAATAGTTCAATAAACTCTTTATTCTTTAAATATAAATTAAATAATGAGTTTGACTATCTACATCTAGAGAGTCACATTTCACTCTCTATCCCAATTTTATTTAATAAATTACAAGTTTTTATGCATTTTATTATTAACTATCTCTCATATTTATTAAGTCTAATTTAAAGAGTCTATTAGATTTAAATACAAATTTTGTTCACTATATTTAGAAATTAATGAATATGTTTTTTATTTATGTGAAATATGCTCTTTAAAATAAAGAGCATAATTAGATATGCTCTTACCATAATAATGGTGAAAGTTATTGGGATATGGAGCAACAAGGCGAACTAGTGAGGAAACTAATTAATGTTAACTAACCCCTAGGTGGCCGAGTGGTTCGATAGAGACTTTGGGTGTATTACTCAAGAGGTCATGAGTTCGAGTCCCTCTCCGGTTGTTGATAGGGGTGACCACTAGAGCTCTTGCCCGATCAGTAGTTCTAAGATCCCGAGAGATTAATTGAGATATGTGTAAGTTGGTCCAGACACCTCTGCTCACAAAAAAAAAAAAAAAAAAAAAAAACCAACTAATTAATGTTGCATGGTGAAGGTTATGGTTGGCGTTGGGGATCAATATTTAGTTTGGCACGCATATGCATATGCATTTCCATTTTTTCTTCTCATCTGTGGCTGAATGGAATGCCTGGACAAATATAGAAGTTTAAGTACTGGTGCCATATATTATTGACACTTTCTGTAACACTAAAGCTTACCTCAACTAATCTTTTGGTGCTCTGAAGTGAATAGTCAAGTAATTCCCCCCAGTGACCACCCCCCCAATTAGTGTTTAAGAGGACTCAAACTCAAAAACCCATATTGGACCTCTGTGTTCTTTTGTCATCAAGTCATCCAATGATAGTTGACTTACAGATTTGGTTACATTAGTTAGCGATACATCCGGTGCATTTAAATCGAAACATCTAGGCAACCAACAATATCCCATAATCCTATATAGCATATGCAGCTTCTGTTAGTAAAGCCTATGTATTGCTGAAGAACCGAAGCAGCAGGATCAAAAAGCAGAAAGCCCTATAAAACTCACATGCAAATCTGTGTGCCATATCCATATGCAATGATAATTAGAAATTAATTATAATACAGAATAAAAAGAGATAATCACGTGGATAAAGAAACACACAGAAAATGACTTCACTTGCCAATGTGTAAGACACTAGACCTGCTACACTACATTGAATTTACTACCACAAATTTTAATTGAGTCTAGCTATCGCTCAGCATGGTCCATCGAGGCCCACTTCTCCTTTCAGTCTCGACAAATTCACCTTTCACCTTTCAAATTTTAAATTACTTTGCATTTAATTTCCAACAATACATTTGCTATTCATCAATGTTTGCTCCTTCTGTCGTGCCAACTCTCATTTTCTCTTTCTCTTTACTAGTCCAATTGGTTTTCACATTCCACATCGATGCTCATTTATTTTAATAATTTCTAGAAACATTATGTATCAATAAGAAAAACAATGTCATATTATTATAATTATTATTTTTATGATCGGCAGTGTGTAGGTTAGCTTGCGTGTACCTCAACTAATTTCCTGAGACCTTGAAACTACTGTTTGAGTACGAGTTCTAATGATCACTTTTATTAACAATCGTGGAGACTCGAACTCGAGAAACCATGTTAGATTTTCCTCTTGCTCTTTTATCTTCAAGGAGACTCGAACTTTGGACATCATGTTAAATCCTTCTTTTAGGAGATCAGTTTAAATGTTCCTCTTACTCTTTTACCATCAGACCTCTAGTGGTGATTCAATGTCGTATTATTTCAAAGATAAAACTTTAGGATACAAACTTACCATATAGGCCGTTTAGATGGGGTAATATATATATAATCCTAAGGCATAGGCTATATGATTGCCATTTTGAAGAGGCTTTCATTTAGCAAATTGTCCAATACTTGACTACATTTAATTGGTGCTGATTTGAATTCTTAACATTTGGTTAAATGTTATTGTCATGATGTGACATAGATTATGATGTGGATTTGATAGTATATGTGACTTATTGTAATTGGTGTTTGATATTATTTGTTATTAATGACAAAATACTAATAACCTTATTGATTGTTACGTGAATTTAAAGGGTTTGTGAATATGAAGGGTTTGATAAGTATGATAGTCATTTTGAAGCTTTAGATTTTCTTGTAGAATATTGTTGGACATGTGGCATCATGTAATTGGGGTATTTAAAGGTATTTTCTTTAGTTTGACATAATAGAATATTTTAGACACTTGACATCATGTAAATGGGTCATTTAAACGCCTAATTAAAAACTTGGATCCCAAAAAATTGTTAGAAGTGATTGGTTGGTGGATATGTGTTAGGATGTGATTGGTTGATTTAATATACGCACATTCTACGAACCGTTGCACCCTTCACCTTCCAACTAATCTCTACACGTTTCCATTTCATTTCCATCCTTTCATCTTCTTTTGTTACACGACCCATCTCTCTAAACCGTTTGTTTCAGTTTTGGCTAAAAAAGATAGTGCTTCATCAGGTCTTGGTGGCGGTGGGTATTATTACATTAAGCTTTTAATCCAATATAAATATTTTGTTTTTCTACTCATGAGTTTATGTTCTCTTCTGTTTTACGTTTATGGGTTTTGGGTTAACGGCAAGAGAAAGAGAGTTGAAGTAGAGTCCGTGAAAATTTAATGTCTGTTATTTATATTTATTTAGTTTGTTGACGCTTGATTTTGGACTCCAACGACTCGCACGTGAGAAGCGCTAAGCGGACTTCGGAATCACACGTGATGGATCCATGAGATTTGAATATGGAGCTGAATTATATATTTTGCAGAAAAATAAACAAAAGATTGGTAAGAGGGGGTTTTTATAGTGGTTCGGATGCTCAACAAGCGACTCCTACATCCACTGTTATTTTATTGCTTACTGACTATTTCTATGATATTGCCTGTAAGGCATACAAAGAGGAAGAAATACAATGTTTACAGAGAGAATGAAATAAAGCTTAAATCTCAGCCCAGCCTCCAGCCCCCCTTCTTCGTGAAGAGAAATGCACATTTATTCACCCAAACACTCAATGTAATGAGTGTTTTGCAAGTTGTCTTGACACATGGAAGGCTCTCGTCCATTCATTTCTTGAAAGGAGATATGGTTGGTGAGAATATCTTTGGAGATATGAGCTTGGCAGCTGGTACAAGAAGACATTAAATGAGCTGACATAGGCGTGACTTTTTAGGCATAACAGAAGCCCCCCGGTTTTTGGAGTGCTTAAACGCGCATCAGAAACTAAGATCTTTGATCTGAATTGCTGCAGTCTCGAATTGAAGAGCTCGAACTGAAATCTGTTAGGAAAACGACCTGAAATCTAGTAGGAGCACGACCTGAAATCTGGTAGGAGCATAACCTGAAATCTGTTAGGAGAACGACCTGAAATTAAAACGAGCTCAACTTGAGAGCAAAACGAGCTCAATATGCACATAACGAGCATGACCTGAGTACATAACGAGCACGACCTGAGCTCAACCTGAATGCATAACAAGCACGACCTGGGCTCGACTTGAACGAGCACGACCTGTGCTCGACCTGAGCATATAACAAGCACGACCTGGGCTCGACTTGAACGAGCATGACCTGTACTCGACCTGAGCACATAACGAGCATGACCTGGGCTTGACCTGAGCTCGACCTGAACGAGTACGACCTGGGCTCGACCTGAGCACATAACGAG